ACAGCTGTTTATACAGAACAGTGTTTGTTAAGAAGCATGGTTCCTGAATGAGAGGCAGTGGTCTAATAGCTCAAAGGTGAGTATACAACCAGTGAAGATACCCTGCTGGCACCTTTTATCAGTCCAGGCAATTAGGACAGTGTCCCACTTTGCTATAAGAAGTCGTGGTTACCACGTTCCACGGCTTTAGTGAGAGTGCCCAGCCAGACCAGATGGCTTTCACGAGGAAACCTTCATAAAAAGTGTATGACATTGCAGAGTTTTTTGCTGATACCGAGGACATGACAGTATACGAGGCAGTGGAGCTAATGAAGCAGGGAAATTCTTTCAGATGGTTTGTCATGAGTATCGTCATGATAATGATGATAAAAAATTGTATGATGATGATAATAAAAATGATGATAATAATGGTGGTTGTAATGATGAGATTAAGATAAATATGACACGAATCCTTATTTATGTCTCTATGAAGAAGTTTGCCATCATTTTTCTTCTTAGCAGTGACAAAAACTGATCGAGCGATCGTAGTTATTGTCCCTTCAGAATGATCCTCTGCTAACCATCTGGGAACTGTCGGCTGCCATAGTTTAACTTTTCCATGATCCTTGTCGTAGAAAGGGTGATGCGAAGATACCGTTTGCCCTGGTAATCATTACTGAGAAAAGAGAAGAAAAAAAGTGTGTTGGAGTGGCAAAAATTTGTGCTTTTCAAATTAATCGTTAAAAAAAACAGTTAGTTGCGTATCCTCTACAGGACATAGAAGAACCAACCCCATAATTTTTTGGCTGTTGTGGTTTTTCTAGCCAGATTTACGTCTAGTAGTGTGCCATTGCTTTCTGGACTGTCAACTTCCTGGTAACACTGTAGAAACCAACGCAAGGCGCAAGACCCGCAGCTGGGATTGAACCCGGCACCCCGGCATTAGGAAGCTCGTTCGCACCGCCTAAGCCGCAGAGCCAACAAAATAAATTTTAAAAAAAATATTTATGGGCAACAACAACAAAAAGGCGGAAAGGAAGGGGGGGGGGGGGGGGGGCTATAAAAGGAAGTTTTCTGCACCGGGTACCACACGACCTTGCGATCCCACTGACAATGATATAGAGGCTAAAGAGGTAGTTAGGCCTGCTCGAGCGTGTATCGTAGACTAGCGGAAACACGGAAATGCTTTTACATCTCGAAAAAATAAAAACTCAAAATCTCACTCACACACACACAACATCAATAACAAGAGCGTGCAGAAGACGATGAGATTACTATCTGGAGAGCTTGGTTACACGGTTTGAGCAGGTCTAAGGTACTGACCTAATCCGGGATTCGGTTCCTTTATTTTTTGTTTACCCCATCTCGAGGACTCCGAGTTTTCGTGGGGAGTTCCCGGGAAACTCCAGTAATATAGGGGCCTGCGGGTGTGAAATGAACACCGACTAACAATAACCCTAACCTCTCCCCTCAAAAAATATATTGGACGTTTTCGGGAACTTCCAAATTTCGGAGTCCACGAGATGGAGTGAACAAAAAAAAAAGTATATGTGATTCTTTATCTTGTATGATAAAGAGCCATTACTGGTTACCATTAGTGATACTGCATAGGAGGATGATGAGGATGATGAGGAGGAGGATAATGATATTACCATCTAGGGGTCGCTGTGGCTAGAGTTGTCACCTACTGCCCCGGTGACTATCAAATCCCGAAGCTCTTATGCTGACCACACTGAGCTGGAATAACTACACCTTGAAAGACTGTTCTAGAGATTACCTGTCCGGAGAACTAGCTGGCTCGTATGTACTTTATCAGCCATCTTCTGTGGCAGGTGTTTACAAAATATGCGGTTAATTTAAACACCACTATGTTCAACATTAAATAAAAAGAGGATCTTTGATGCTGACAAAAGACACGAAGTTAGATGAAATCTCATGTGTCAGAATGTGGGAACGAGTATTTGGTGTTGATCCGGCAAAGAGGGACGGGTGATAGAAAGAGAACTATGAATTGATTATAATCAGTGTGCCAGAGACAGGAACAGTTAGCATCTACACTTTAAAACATTTGCTGTCGGAGACGGAGCATCTATTGGCATGTCCGGTGCGCTCTGATGTTGATTCTTAAATTAGTAATCATTATCTTCAATTTGAGGTTTCTTATTATGATGTATAAATGATCATTAACTAATAATACACAAGAAAGAATACTGATACGTCACTTGGCTATAACCTGGTACTAGTAAGAAAAAAAAAAGAAGAAGAATGATCATTTTGTTTTAAAAACAACAAAAAAACGAAATCATGGACAACATTAGCGTCATCGGCATAAAAGACGTATGATGCTAAACCCATAGTGTTATAGATCAATCAGCATTCAAATGATTGCACGATAATTACATATATTGTCAATCTTATATTTCAGTTTTAAGGTGTTTAAATAACTATGTTTTTAAGTTAGTATTACTTTCTGTATAGTTGTTACTGTAAATTTTCTGTTTTGCTAAGTTTTTGATGTTTTCCAAGTTTATCTACAGATATTTTCTGTATTTAAGTGTGCATGTTCGTTTAGTTTATCTATTTTTATTTTACTGATACTTATATAGTGAGTAATTAGTATGATTTAATTAGGTACCTTTGTTTAAATGTATTTTATGTAATCAGTTTATTTTACAGGTAATTGACCTTCTGTGTATTACAAACGGGTGTGTTGTGGACTATTTCGCAGTCCCACTAGAGAGAGAGAAGGGGAGATAGCGAGAGAGAGAGAGAGAGAGAGAGAGAGAGAGAGAGAGAGAGAGAGAGAGAGAGAGAGAGAAAGAGAGAGAGAGATTTTCAAAATAATTAAAAATTTAAAGAGGATCTTTAACATATCATGGTCCAAGATAAATTAAAAAAAAAATTTAAAGTACTTTAAGATCTGGATATCGAATATATTAAATTGTAAACAGTATCTTGTCTGGAAAACTAACGTCAGAAAAGGAAGAAGAAGAAGAAGAAGAAGAAGAAGAAGAAGAAGAAGAAGAAGAAGAAGAAGAAGAAGAAGAAGAAGAAGAAGAAGAAGAAGAAGAAGAAGAAGAAGAAGAAGAAGAAGAAAAAAAAGAAGATGATGAACAACAATAACAGAAACGACAACAAATACGACAACAAGCAGAAGAATTGTAAATGCATAAGAATGTGTGCTGAATAACTTATTAACGCAATAATATATTGGGTATACTGTACACAACATGTAAGTGTATAGACCAGACCTGTCCTGACTGTATGTCTGCTGTAGTCTGAAGGTGTGTCACCCAAACTGATGTTGTTCAATTATACTATTCAATCTGTTTAATATTGTTACCCATAAAATATAACATTGACATTAATCTGGGTAATATTAAATGGTTTCTAATATAAATGCAATGTTTTGATGAAACAGGCTGTGTAGCGAAATATTTCGTTATTGCAGTTCATGTATGTCTTAGAATCTTACGTACGTGGTTAGTTTAACATCTGCTTTTCTAGTAATTAGACTGAAATTGTGTCTTGAAAATATGTTTGTATAAAAAGTTTGAGTTTTAACATCAAAAGTGTCTTTTTCATCTTGTCGTCGTTCTCCCTGCTAGTTGTTTCAGGCGGAAGGCTGCAGGCCTATGTGAAGTATGTTGTGCGACGCATGCCTTCCATTGTTCCATATAGCTGGCTTTATGAATCTTCAATCTTGGTAACATTTGGCTGCGGAGCTTCTTTCGTGTGAGGAGTTTGAATCTTCGTCTTGTGTCCCTGGATAAGAAGTGCTCCTAGTACTGTGGTTTTAGTAGCTGCCTTGGTCTGCGTTTTTTTTTTTCTCCTCTTAGGCGCATTCTGTATCTAGCTACTCTGTGTGACTTCCAATGTTTACTAAGTAGTCTTTTCTGTATTTTCCTTTTTGATGCATTGTTCACAAATACACTAAAGCATAGTCTCCTTGGCTAGCTAACCCAGTTGATTTAGCATAGCTTAAAGCTCGTTGAAATGTAGTTTCTTGTCGTTTTGTATTGCTTGCAATACTGAGCGAGCATCTGTCAGTATACCCACTTTTGACCCAGAGCTGGATTTATCCTGCCTCCATTGCCTTCTCTTTGTAATTAGTGGAGTGTTTCTCTCTAGGGTAACTGCACTCTTCTATGGCACTATTGGTCCATTATGTTTATGTTGAATGGTTTGAAAAGCTCTAGATTAGACTTATCTGTGCTAATTTCATGCTAACTTTTAACATCACGAAGTCTACTGAATGCTGACCATATCACCAGCTGAAGACCTGCTGTTCAATACGAGACAAGCATTATATGCCCAATGCGCCAATGACCTATAAAAATCGTATGCCAACCTAACAATTAGAACACGATCCTGAGAGGAAGATCGAAATAATGACAGCTGGGTCTGCATGCGGGAGCCGCCGTGATGTAGCGGCTAGACGCTCGCATAAAGTCGTGGGTTTGCTCCCTGACGAAGCCAGACTTTTTTCAAATTGAGCTTGGCTCCTAGGTCGACCCAACCTTGAGTGGGTACCAGGTGCAGTCCTGTGAAGTAAAGGCGGCCGGTGTGATACTGACCACATCATCCATCTTGTGCTGTTGGTCTATAAAATATAGATCTAGCCCTATAAACCCAATACGCCTGAAAGGCGTGGAAAACGGTCCTTTATTTTACATGCGAAGAAAGCAAAGAAGCATTTTTACGCTAGTTGCGCATATGGTATATGATGCTAGACTCGTATTATATAGAGCTATCAACACTCGATGGTTCTGTCATCAACGTCACGTGGATCGCCTTTATTTCCCGTGGCATTTTCTTGTTCTCGTCTTAGGCTGAGCTGATTTGGGAGCCAATGTCAGTTTTTTTTAATGCCCTCATGCGGACTCGAACCCATTAGATTCGGGTCTAGCCGACTAGACCACAAAGTGACCAATTAATCATTTCGATATCCTGCAGAGGATACGCAGTAATTCTTTACATGTAAGAAACTTTCATAAATGTATATTGTTTTTCTTTTTCAGATCATTGCTGTTATTTCCGTGTTTTTCATCGTGATATCTATACTTTCATTCTGCTTGAAGACACATCCTGAGATGAGGGTTCCAGTTCTGCGAAACGCCACCTCCATGACCGCCAACGGCAGCTACACTTGGCGGTTAGAAAAGCGAGAAACAGAACCTCACGAAGCATTTTTCTACATTGAATGTGCCAGTAACGCCTGGTTCACTTTTGAGATTATCATTAGGTTTGTGGTCGCGCCCCATAAGTTAGAGTTTTCTGAAAGCGCCGGTGAATATTATAGACATTGTTGCTACAATGAGCTTCTATTTGGACTTTATGCTAACGGAGCTGAAGCAAGAGAGCGAGATGCTGGAGTTCTTTTCAATTATCAGAATCATGAGGCTTTGCAAGCTGACACGCCATTCTGCAGGATTGAAGATCCTCATACATACTTTCAAAGCTAGTGCCAAAGAATTAATGCTTCTAATTTATTTCCTTGTTCTGGGAATCGTTATTTTTGCTGCTCTTATTTATTACGCAGAGCGAATCCAGTATAATCCGGATAACGATTTCCAGAGTATACCAGTAGGACTGTGGTGGGCCATCGTAACGATGACAACAGTAGGGTACGGTGATATGGTGCCAAAGACATACGTCGGCATGTTCGTTGGCGCCTTATGTGCCCTGGCTGGTGTCTTATGCATTGCCCTGCCGGTTCCCGTCATCGTGTCCAACTTTGCATTGTTCTACTCACATACGCAAGCTAGATCAAAGTTGCCCAAGAAGAGAAGACGTGTTTTGCCTGTCGAAGCACCGAGGCCCAAAGCTTCTAAGGTCGCTGGGATGGGAGGACCAGGCGGTGGTGTAGGAGGGCCTCAGACTCGACGGATGAATGCTATCAAACACACGCATCCTGGGTCTTTAGACGTTAAAATCAATAGGATAGGTAACTATCCATTTAATTGGTCTGTTTGTCTTACGATGTCTTGTGACTGTAAAGTATTTCGTACTAATGTACCCAGCATTGAATGAAAGGAATGTTTTCACATTAGCATAGAGTATTCAACAGTACATTTAGGTTAGAAGGGCCAATTTAGGTGGCCCAAGATTAGCCCACATTTTACCAATATTCTGGGGTTTGGGGGGAGGGGGGTGACCCTGTGGCGAAGCAGTATTTACCTCAGGCGATGAAGGTTGTCTGATCGGTTTTAGACGTGCTTTATTTTCGCAAACGCAGGCATTTCGGAGATCCTTAAAATCGCGACTGGAGCTGCGATGCTCGTGCGTTGTGCATTGTTCTCGGTGACGACCAGCCGCTCTACAGCGAGCCACATGAGATACTAGTATATTCAATGTAGTTTTCCTTTCCCTCCAACTCCATTGCACCTCGGACCGATCTCTGGAGTCCCGAAACTGAATTCACAACCTTTATCGCCCAAAATTAATGGCTCTGCCACTTTCCAATTATTGCAAAACTCTAATAACAAAATGTAAAGGGTCTGAGAACAATCACACACTGTAACAAAAAAAGAAAGAATAGACTGTAAGTCACCTCAAATAACAATGGTAATGTAAGCATCCGCAGTTTAAACAGAAATGAAATAAAAGTAACACACAAACAGTGTGTGAGATAAAGAGATTACGAGGTGTGATAAGATTTTTTTTTTTTTTTAACTTTCCTAATGAACTATTTGTACATTTGTTAAAACTATCTCATTAGGTATGATGGATTTTAAATACGTAAATTCTAGAACACCAACATGTACTTGGTGTTTTCAGAAAAAGTGATATAAGCGTTCAGACATGCGTCCGGTTTCTAGGGATGACGGTAGAATCCGTACTCAAAGAAGGACTTTTGTTGCTCTTTGAATGATTTGTCACCGATGTGGTGGTATCTGTACCGGTGTAGCATCATCCCTCAATCTTTTGTTTAAGTTTTAGTACAAATGAAAGTCGCATGGCAACAGAGTGGCCTAGGTGTGTCAGAACTTCACATCTCTTCCCCATTAACGCTTCTTTGACAAGTTTCGAACATTCTGACCAGCAAACAAACTCTTTCCCTGCAGAGATTGTTGTTCGGACTTTTCTGTCTTTCCAGACGTACGGTTTATATTGTGCTATAAGAAGGCACAGGGATCGGTCTGTAACGAAGGCGACCATGACTGGCATGTGCCGTTAAAACAGAATTATCCACATAGAATGCATACCATTTCCTGATTACTGTTGCCACAATGTGCATTTACCTGTCTCGGTAGCGCCGTGGGTAGCGCGTCAGGCTCATAATGACTTTAATATATGCTTTGGACATATTTCTTCACAGATTATATTAATCTGTCTGCAGTCATTTTCTCGTTTATCCATTCTCCCTTTCCAATTTGCCCCATCAGGTCAAACAGGTTCCATAGCATCCTGTTCCCAAGAATCTACCTCAATACTTGTATCATTCATGTCCCGCTTGCACACAACTTTAAATCATAGATGAAGCTGTCCCAGACATCTTCTACCTATTTTTAATTTACCATAGAGGATGTCTTTACGGAGTTCCCCCATCCTCCATCCTCAAAGTATGCCCTCGCAATCTGAGCCTTTCAGAACTGGACATTGAGAAAACTTGATATTCTAATACCTCTAATACTCAAGAAGGAGACGGAGCACGTGTGGGAATGTCCCGAGTGCGGGGATGTCACTTCTTGATTCATTTATTCAGTCATCATTCCAATACCTCACTCCGTAATCTTTAGAGATGTGCTTGTCTGACAGCATATTAGAAAGCTTTTGACGTCCCCAAGAGACTGCAGTCATTCATAAAATTTGCTTTACCTAATTCTACCACCCCTCATAATACTGTATACTTTTCACATTTTTACAGTAGAGTGGCTGGGACGGTTTTTTTTATTTTTTTTTTAATCATCTCTCGTACAAAGTAAAAAGTTTTAAGTTACTTAGAGAGCTGCCTTCATTTGATACAATAGATGATAATTTGACTGGGGTAAAAACGATAAATGACCGAGATAAAAATTCCTGAAAAAAAAATTACAAACCAATGATATAAATAAGATCACAGCTCATATAGAAAAGACGCCCCGGAAAGAAGAGTAAATTAATTAATACGTGTAATTTTTTTTTAAAGTTTTATTACGTATTTCATAACTGCAGTGTATGTATTTTCTCGTAAGGCTTTCTAATATGTTTTATCATGTTGTCACGATGTATGTCTGTCTGAATGTTTTGGCCTGTCTTGCTCTTCCTTATCACAACTTTGTTGTTGGATTGAGTGACGTTACCTGTTGCATGCTGTTATAGTTGTCTTTATTTCATTGATGTTACATTTATACTTATAATTTATTGTATGTGTATTTTTAGCAAATATTTCCATCGTGAAGCATGCAACAGTAATCTATTTTATTATCTATACTCGTTTCAATATACGTTTATAGTTTGTTCCACTCCACTCCCTTAAAAAGGTTAAGATTGATTTTTCCTTTAAAAAAATTACCTTGGCTCACAGGTCGACCCAGCCTAAAATGGATACCAGGTAAGGTCCTGGGAAGTAAAGCAGCCGGCGTGATGTTCACTTTATCACCTATTGTATAACCTATATTATCCTGTGGGTTTCAGTGCCTCATATAGAGCGTGGGAGGGGGGGGGGGGGCAGGAGACTCACTGCACTTACAAGCGTATCGTAAAAGTCCACTAATTGGGGGTATTTTCTTCAGAGTCGGAGTGCATCTGCCTGAGAGGCCAGAAACCAAAAGATTGATTACAAAAAGCTGGATCTTCAAAAGCGTGTGCATGCGAAAGTCAAGTTCTGGAACGTGACTAAAATCCCGAAGTGGACGAACAGCTAGAAAGTTTCGCTGAAGTTTACAGACTGTGAACGCAAAGGAGAAGAATAGCATAACTCTCTAAATTTAAATATTCTCATTACTGCTTCCATAACGTTATAAAACTCGTTGCTTCTTGTTTCAGCATTCTCTCGTTTCGTTATTTTGTTTGCTTTTTTATGATCCTAAGTTGCTGTCATTTCTCCTTCGCCCTGTTCATTACATTGTGTTGTTTGATTATTTTGTTACAATGTGATGTTGTGTTTATTCGTCATGCTGGTGTTATGTATTCTCAGATCCATCGAGCGCCTTGCAACAACTGGTCGCATTTCGTTGTAAGTGTTTTTTCAGTGTTTATTACTAAAAGACATCACTAACACTAAAGCACGAGCATAATTATACTGCATTGCTTGAGATATTTTAACTCTTTCAGTTTTATACAAATCGTCTGTTTTGAGCATTCCGAAGATAATATGATGCCGTTTCCGCCCAGGCGGTTGGCCGCAAATGTCGGCTTGATATCCTGATGTTCCTGGAGACTTAAAGCAGGTGCCACACCAACAGGCACGTCCCAATGGCCGGGTTGGTCTCCATAAGGCCAGTCCGGCATCACTTTAAATCAGGTCGCCAAGCCTAACAGGAACCACCAGACTGTCTTCTTCCTTTACTTTACTTGATGGGTTATCCCTGGTTTTCTTTTCAAAGGTTGGACCGATCCGACCTTATAGTCTTATCCAAAAATAGACGATAGGCGATTGTTATTATCCTTTTTAATTAACATCTCACGAATGAGAATCGGGAAATCCCGTTCAGCTGTGAAGCCATTTAGGACAGTTAAATGGTTGGTCGAAAACACATGGATTGGGTGTTATTGGTTGGACCGATCCGACCTTTTGGTCTTATCCAGAAAGGTTGAAAAGCGATTATTTTGTACTTCCATTTAGTTGTACCCCCTTTAGATCTGCATTCTATGGGATTAACATCACAAGGATGAGAATCAAACGCCTACAGATCCTAGAGACCCCGTTCAACCGTAGAGCCATAGAGCACAGTTGTACTAGGGCACGACAAAACGGTTACGAATTAACAAATGTGTGATCCGAATGTATTGGTGAGACTTTTTAACTTACAGCCTAATGTTGAATCAAGCCTTTTGATATTAAGCCAAACATAGCTCTTCTTTCTCAGTTAAATGTTATATTAATCCTTTATATATGAATTATTAATATTCATATTCATATTCCATAGTACCTCTGTTAAACTCTTTCAGATCTAAGTATTTTTGTTTCGGCTGTTCAGAGTTAAATACTTTCGGATAGACAGGCTTGAAGCAGGCAACTGCTTGAAGATGAAAGAGTTTCAATATTTACTCATCTGACGGCATGTAAAAGGCAAACAACCACAAGCGTGCGTAGCTTAAATCTCAAAAACAATGTACTGATTGACCGCCCCTCATCCCTTTTGATCCGTCTTTGTCAGTGTGTATAAAGTTCATCAGTTGCGGTTTTTTCGTCGGTTGCAACAGTACGACATTTTGCATTATTATTATATTTAAGTAATAATGCAAAATAGAAAAATAAACATAAATCACTTCTTTTTTTAGCTTCCCTAAGTTAACACATATTCGGTAAATAATGTTTAACGTTATCAAAAAACAATACCTGGTTTTGTTTTGCATGCCCGTTTGTTGTTGATTATTTCAGTTTTCGTCGTAACTTTCAAGACCCCACAATACTGTAACGGTTGTATGGGGCATACTGGGATCTATAAATGTAGGATTCTCATCAATGACATGGACTACAACCCTTGAAGGAACAAACTGCAGCAGCAACAGCAGCAATAACGCCTTCATGGTCAATGCACTGTACTCTAACTCACCCACATTCCACCGCAATCTAACTCACCCACATTCCACCGTAGTCTAACCCACCCACATTCCACAACAGTCTAACCCGCTCACATTCCACCGCAGGTCACCTGGTATAAATAGGGCACTCTTATATAGCTGTTTACAGGACTGAACAGGGTTTCTGGGACCCGGTCTTGGTGGCATCTCAGTCGAACAGTGTCTTTTTCATCATAGATCAGCAGGACTTGTACGGAAGGTCGATCTCGACATGCTATGAAAGTCTCTCTTTCTCTAGCCAATTCTGCAGCCGTGTCTGCTTTCATAGCCATAACGTCTTGAATGTTTTGTACCCAACCTTTGGTGGATAGTCGAAGAAGAGGGGGGTCACACATACACACACACACAAAAGAACTTGGAAAGCCATCAAGAAACGGATATGACTAAATTACTATACACTTGTTACACAAACGAAAGACAAAAAAAAAAATAGCGGGCTTTATGTGCAATAGCGTCCATCGTAAAATAACGACCCTAACGGGCCAAGGGTTATGTTATGTTACCCACCTTTGCGGAATTCTTCCTCTGCCTCGCTGTACCCTCCATAACAGTTTTCTCCAGGCCACCATAACGTTTAACGTGGAAACAGTACATAAGTTTTCGAGACACGATGCTGTTTATAAGGCAATTTTCCTCAGATCGTAGGATGTCAGTGTTTTTCCTCTTCTTGATCTATGGTTCTTCTAAGAACAATTTTTCTTTATCATTTCATTTCACAAGCTCCAATTTTGTTTCTTTAGTGATCAAGTAAGAGTCCTTGACCCACATGGGTATCTCTCTTCAGTCACTTGGCGTTTCTTGCGGGGTGCAATCCAAGAATCAGAATGGAGAGAACAAAATAAAAACATTTCTTTTAAGGCTGAGTTAACTGAAAATCATTTTAAAGCTCGTAAACGCACACTTATGGAATCCGAATCTGGATCGTCCATTTCCCTGCATCCTGCAAGTTTTTACTGGTCTGTGGGCTACCTAGCTTGTATGTGATTGGATTCGACTTATATATTCACATTTTATTTTTTTATCACCTGGATAGTCATGTTATTTTTTTTTTCCTTCCTTGGTCTGGCAACATTATCACTGGTTTTAATGGCCCACTCTTCGATTTGTTTCCGATCAGGTAATTTTAAAATTTTTGGTTCCAGAAAGTTGGCCAGGCAAATGTCCAAAGAGGCAACTTGCGAAAACTCGTGTGAGTTTAACTTTCATTTAAGTTGGTTATATACACCGGATGAGCCAGATTTATTTGCAATGCTCTAGCCAGAAGGTAAAAGCTACAGAAAAAAATGATTAGATGGCTGCAATCACTCATAGTTGTCTTAGAATAGACAAACTTGAAAAGAAAAAATGGGAAGAGGAGGATTTTAAATAAGAAACCTCAAAACAAAATATGTTTGCACGGTTTAGATCAATGACTTTAAAACAGGGAAAGGGGGGGGGGGGGGGTGCAACTCCTAGGGTGTGGAAAAGATGTCAAGAGAGCGTCAAGTAATGTTGAAGTTGAGTACATTTATGCTTGTAATATTCTGATATGTTCAGTAATTTTTTTATATATATTATTATCTTATATTTATTTATAAATAAAATATTTTAAAACTATATTTAAAATAAAACGCCAAGGACATTATGTTATTTGACACTGTTCTATGTAGATGCTTTTCTCCTAGTTCTTGTTAATAGTGGTTTCGAACTGTTCATTTTGTCCTCCTCTTGTCAGTCTCATTTTGTTAAAGTTTAGGGACAGAGGGGGACTTGGGGATCTTATCATATATTAAAGAGGCGCTCTTTGAGAAGGCTTGAAAACCACTGGTTTAGATTCATGATTTTTAAGAACGTTTGTATCCGAAATGACTGACTTTACAAATTCAGAATTATGATTTAGAAAAACATTTGAATCATAAATAAATGACTTTAGATTCAAGATTTTGAAGAAAGTTTGTATCAGGAATGACTGACTTTTCAAATTCAGATTCATGAGTTGAAAGAACATTTGAATCAGAAATTACTGTCTTTACAAATTCAGAATCATGAGTTAGAAGAACATTTGTATCAGAAATGACTGACTATACAAGTTGAGTTTCATGATTTTGAAGAACATCTGAATCAGAAATGACTGACTTTACAAATTCAGAATTATGATTTAGAAAAACATTTGAATCATAAATAATTGACTTTACCAGTTTAGATTCATGATTTGGACGAACATTTGAATCAGAAATAAATAACTTTACCAGAGACGGATCTTTTTAGCCAGACGTGATTACCAAACCCACACAGTATGGACTGTAACAGGTTAGACAGCAAAAGTTATCAAGCCTCACCTCCAATTAGAGATGCAATTTTCTGTTACTTTAAAACCCCACCCTGGCTGTAGTCAAGGGCCCTAATATAACTTGAAGGTTCAGTGGGGTCTCTTGGGACTTGTACCCGTTTGATTCTCATCCGAATGCTAGCACTTTGTGTCACTGTGTGTTTATCGTTTGTCGTGTGGTCCTGGTGGGGTTGAGCGTTAGTCAGACGGCAATAGACTGAAGAATTAGGTGATTAAGAATTGTAAAAGCTAGACTGTTTCCTTTATCGCAGTGGGTTTTGTCATTTCTTTTCTAATCAGATCACGGCTTTGGCGTATCTCAAGGAAGACGGCCATGTTTGTTTTTGTATAATTCCGCCATAAAATAGTTCATCAGACTTATGCGCGGTGGGATAGGGCGCCACATGGTTACATAGAAAATGAAACTAGGCGTCTCCCTATTGCTCCATCATATGACCGAACCATTGCATCCTTGCCAGTCAGTGACTATTTAAATGTTTAATTTCGTTCTTTTTACTGTGATGCTGTTCTAGAGGAATTGCTAATAATTCATTGTATCTACTAGATAGATTCAGTTTAAAATTAGTATCAGCAAAAAACCTGGGAAGTCAAGGCTGCCAGTGTGATTTTGTCCACTTTTTAATAATCAAGGGTCGAATGTCTAAATAAAATCCCTGCAGCACCGTAGTTTATGGGTGTGCTTTTTTCATAAGTTTACTTTTTTTAAAGTTTTTATTAGTTACTAATATCTTTCTCTCTCCTCTCTCTCTCTCTCTCTCTCTCTCTCTCTCTCTCTCTCTCTCTCTCTCTCTCTCTTTTCACTGTCTCCATCTCTCTCTCTCTGTCTCTCTCTCTTTCTCTGTCTCTCTCTCTCTTTCTCTCTCTCTCTCTCTCTCTCTCTCTCTCTCTCTCTCTCTCTCTTCCCTTCCGTCCTGTCACTTACTGATCCTCCCCATTTTCTGCCTATAGACTTGTCAATGACTGACAGGCTTTTGCAGCTTATAGTGTTGTCATTCTTTGCTTCTGGTCCCGGTAACACAAGCAACAACACTACCACAAAATAATGTTTGCTTCGGCAACACAGCTTGTGAAAAGTGCCAGAACAAAGCAACTCTATCATA